TAGATGAGAATGATAAAGATGAGATCGAGAATGAGATTAATGGTGAAATATATGAGAACAAGAAAGTGGAGATCTTCACTGAAAGTGAGGTAAATTATACTCTATTATGGCTTATAGACGAAAGTTCGTCTATCTTAACTACCGTGAACATTAGATCAGCACAAAAAGTTCAAGTAACCAATAATACAATGCTACCATCGTTTCCAAATCCAGCATATAAAGCATTTGTACGATTGATTATCAAGCATCATTTTTCTGATTCTGTAGTAAATGATCTTATTTGCTTATTCAACACTTTTTATATGGATCCAATAACCAGTTTACCTTCAAATGCTAAAGCAGCTTGCAAATTATTAGATTTTATGCATATTCCTCATATTATCTATAGAAACACAGTCATCATGGAGTATAACCAATTACAATATACACTTTATCATTAAACGATTTATGATACTATCAAAGAATTGTTGAGTAATACAGATATATTTAAACATTATGTATTCGATTATATGCCAAAGTATATAATGAACGATAAGGATAAAAAGAAGAGATCTTATGGAGAACAATACAGTAATGATTGGTAGAGTCAGGCTCAGGTATCAATTGATGAAGGTACTAAAGTTTTTTCTATCATTCTTTATTCTGATGCTATAACATGTGATATGCTTAGTAAGACGTTGTAGAGTTAACAATTTCATTATTTAAGACACAGCAATACAAAAGAAAATGATCAACAATATACAGTAAAAAGTCACAAGGAAAAGTCATATGATAAAAGAGAAATAATAATTTTATTAAGAGAAAAGAATAATACTCAGATAAATTACAGACCGAAAAGGAAGATTACACAAAACAAATAAATCACGGAAGAAAATGATTTGGATAAATTAGTTACTAAAAGAAAAAGGATAATTAATTAACCAAACGGAGGGTCAAGGAAAAAGGATAATTAATCAACCGGACAGAAGGTCTTATAAAAAGACAGGAAAATATTTGAAAATAACAAATTGAAGAAGTTATACGAGATGCAAGAAGGTTACACAAAAGACACTCATTGGGAATGATGAACTGGATCATACTGAAGCTTATGTAACATAAAGGTTACACATGACATCATAAACGAAACGGAAATCAGAAGAAGAACGGAAGTTAGTAGTGATACGAAGTACGGAAGAAAGACAGAAGTACAAAAAAAAAGTAAGAAGGAAAAATTATTATTAAAACGTTAAATAATTATAAGGAAAACAAATAAGAATTAATATAACAGAACATAACAGAAGTATGAATTAATACAACGAAATGAAATTAAATAGTAAACAGTAAACAATAAATAGTAAACAAATACAAATACGGAATTTAGAGAACAACAGAAAATTAGGAATAATAGTAAATATAGAAATCATATATAGAAAATCATGTAATAAAAATCATGTAACGAATATTACGAAGTGAATTTTATTATATAAAGGCTTAGGATTCCCTCAAGGAACCAGGTCGTTAAAATTTCAAAAGAATAAAAAAAAAAAAAATTTAATAAATAAACTTTTAACACAAATTAAAATGAATACTTTTGTTTGAAATAATTAATTGTTGGACAATAAATTATGAAAATAAATAAAGTTATCTCGCTTATATATAAACTATAATTTTATAAAAATGTTAATGAAGTAATGAAGAAATAAAATTTAGAAGGAATAATGAAATATGATAAAAGTTAAAGAATATTTAACGTAAAGAAATGAAGTAAAATAAATAAAAATATTAAAGGAGAAATTAAAGAATAATAAGGAGAAATAATATATTTATAAAACACATTCGTAAATAATATTTGGAAGATATACGGAAGATATGAAAGATATTCAGAACAAACATTCGGAAGACACATTTGTAAAAGATATTCAGAAGTAACATTCAGAAATAATATTTGGAAGATATAATTGGAAGAGATAAATAAATATAATGTTAAGAATAATAAGAATAAAGAGAAGAAGTATAATAATTAAAGAAAGATAAAGAATAACTTAACTAAAGATTAGACAACAATAACATTGAAAAAAAATTATTAAAGGAAATTATCGTTCAACATGAAGGAAAAGATTCTTAGCAATTAAAAATTAATTTGTAAAACAAATCTTCTTGATGACGAGTGGCAGAAACGATCAAGAAGGTACGAGTTATGTTGAAGCTTATCAAACTCAAAAATGCTATACATTTGTAAAACAAGGATTATGGTAACTACAACGTCAGAACATCCCATATATATAACATTAGACAATATTCCTAATTGGTATCGAAGTAAGCCAGATGTAAAGGTTTTATTGGCATATTTGCCTAGAATTAAAGCAACAAATGAACATAAAAAATGGAAGGACTTTCTAATAATAAAATATCACCTTTTTCAACGCTTAATAGAAGTTCTTATTAAATCCATCAGATTAGAATTTATCAGAGGTTTTGATTTACGCACTGATGATGGTATATTGTGATGCTATCCATTTATATCTGAATTACTCAGAGATATATCTAAACATCACGCTATAACATTAACATTTAACTCAGCTAATTGCAAAATGCTGTATAGCTCATGTATAATGCTAAAAATTAACATTAATAATCCATTAATAGATCACTCAATGATCTAACTACAAATATCCGAAATGATGCAAAGCGTATTAAGGGATGGTATTGCTATAGAATATTCATTATATAATATAGAAAATATTTTCTGGAAATTATCGTAAGTGTTAAGTTTTATTTATTATCATACTTTTTATTTATTATCATATTAATATATTTATATATTTATGATAAAGGCAATTCAACATATATCAGGTTTATATGCCAGATCATATGCATTACTTAGATATAGGTATGTTTAAATATCAAGTTGAATATACATAAGAGTTATTAATAGAATGGTGTAATCTGAATGGTATAATAAAGTTTGATAATCGATTAGCGAAAATATCACGTTTTTCAGAACTTAAAATATTTAAATATGGATTGGGTGATATTAAATATTTCATAGCAGCAGAGTTTCAATCGATAATATGACAACTTGTATTTGTTATTGATGACATCATTAGTACATTACACAAACCTAATTATACCACGTATCAGGTAAATAATATAGACAAACATTTAACTAAATTATATGTAAATTGGAATCAAATATATATTTATTCATGCAATGATGAATTTACTGAATCAAATCTAACAACCCTTAAAGTAAGTATATGATTATTGAATTTTATACAAAATATATTATATTAATCTATTTATATTTATAGATACTTATTATTAAATGATCAAAAATATTTGTAAATTATTATCACCATATTTATCTTCACAATTGCAGTTACCAAAATTATATAATTGAATTTATAATATTATTCTAGCAATTAAAGAATATGGTGCTATCAATAGTTTTATAATAGAAACATATGAATCATTACATAAAAAATGTGTAAAGAAACCATACCGGATGAGTAATCGGTGTGATGCAACAATACAAATGCTATGGTGCAGGAAACTTATACTTGACAATCACGTGATTATATTTCAAATTTTCAGCGCCAATTTTATATCACGTGATTTATGATTGACCAATAGAAAATGAGAATTTTTGTACAACAAAAAATAGTTTTTTTATTCAATGTACACGTTTACTATATATGCATATTAAAGATGGGAACTGTAATTAATATGTTGCAACTTTTAATGTTGCAACTTACGTTGCAATTAGTTTTAACCTA